CCGTTCCTGCACAGGCAATCTAATATCCGTGTAATGACTGAATATCTCCTCGCCAGCTTTGATACCGGTCCACTCATCGCCATCATCCCCTCCCTCACCCCGCTTATACTCGGCCCTCTCCTCCCTCGTACGCACAAAGAACTTTCTTGTTCCTTTCGGTGTCCATCTGACATTCGGATCACAGCTATGATTCGCTAGACACCACCCCGGATGCACAGATGCGATCTCGGGCTTCCCGTCGAAGGTCGATTGTGTTGCGTTCGCGACACCCCGGAACTTCGCGAAGAGGGTTTGGAGGATCCAGAAGTCGAAGGTGCGGAGCCAGTGGGGGGAGTAAGGTGTTGCGCGCGGGTCGGAGAGGGAAAGTGTGGTGAAGTAGTCGAGGGTGTATTGGAGGTTGTGGAGGGGGGAGAAGGGGAGGGTGAGGTGGTGTTTGTGGTGAGGATCGAGGGTGGTGGGGGTGGGGGTGGGGTTGAAGTCGCCCCAGAGGTATTTCGTTGAGGGGAGGGAGAGGGGGTGGATTGATTGGGTGAGGGACATGGCGATTGTGCGGGTTAGGAGGAGGAAGTAGAGGTCCCATTCGGGGGTTGTTGTGTTTGTTGGTCGGCCGATGGTTGAGAGGTCGGTGTTGCCGCAGATGGGCGCGGAGGATGTTTCTAAGGGTGAGGGTTCTTCCTGGGTGTTTTGATCTTCGTAGTTTGTCGTATCTATCGATGGGGCATGTTCATCACCTGACGTCCCGCCAATGTCGTCTTCTGCATCTTCTCCATTCCAGGCGACATCGCCATCTTCTTCTTCATCTATATTTGGTCGGTGATACTCCTTCGCCGCTCTGTCCTTGCATTCCTGCGAACAGAAGGTGACATCGCAATCATCACCATCGCACTGTCTAACGTCCTCAAATGGTATTTCTTCGAGCTCTTGCCCACAAGCGTCGCAGATAGCATCCTCTAAAGGACGAATAGCAGTCAGAAGTGATTTTTCGTTCAACACTTCTTGCCTAGGTTGCAGGTCCGTCTTCGCGAAAAGTCCAAGCTGATATGACTTATCCTCAGTCGCATTACCTAATGTATCGAAAGCAGGAAGAGCTGTGACCTTGGCTTCGAGAGAGGAGGAGATAACTGAGAGGTACTTGTTCAGCTCCACGACAGAGTCTGTGGAGTTACGGTCAGGCTCGTAGCTTGACCATGAGTAAACTTCGCGGCGAGATTGGCCAAAGTGAGACATGGTAGATGCATAGAGGACCCTATCAATGTCATTCATGTCAAGTTCCGTGTAAGGGAGCTTAGTTGAAAGCCAATCGTCCGAGTTGGTATTCTTCAGCACACTGACTTCCTCTCTCAATTCTTGCCGCATCTTCACTGCGTCCGCTGTGGCACCCATCTGCACGAAACACCGCATCAGAATGGCCAGAGCTCTTAACTTCTCGTAGCGTGCGGTATGTATGCGTCGCTCGTTGCCGAATCCCTCGCCAGTGGATTCGAGCCACGGCCGACCATCTAGGTCATGGGCTACTAGATCAGTGACAAACTCATCGCTGAGCTCTTTCTGGCACAAGGTATACACAGTGTAGGCATCGAATGCGGCAAGGTCATGGTATTGTAACGCTTGGTAAACGCGTGCTCGCTGCAAGATGAAATCTGGATAGCACTTGCCGTGCCAGATCATCTTTTCTGTCAGCCATTCTCGATGAAGCAAGAGCTGGAAGAAATCGGGCTCTGCTGTACCAGAATCTGGCATATCGGTGGAGTTTATGTCACACAAGGTAGTATATCCTCCACCATTGTTCTTGTCGGATTTATAGAGAAGGAAAGCATCTGCTCGGTCAGCCTGTCAGACACTGGTGTCGGTAAATGGTGGGCATGGCACGACTGAGAGCGGCGTTGAAGCACACATGGCATGTCTCTCGGCATGACTCGTTCATGAGGATTGTTCATTGCGCAGGTGAAGCCACAGTGCATAGCAGACGAAACACACCTTGAAGATATTTTGGCAACGTGGAAACATCGATGCTTTGACCTGTGCTCAGTGAAGCCAGATCACTCTCAGACTCACCAGGCGACATGATATCAGTCACTGACAGCGCGTAGCTAGACTGCCTGAAGGAAGAGAGTTCCAGAAGGAAATCTAAGTGAAGAGAGCTGACATGAAAAGAAATGCAACCGCGTCGGATAGTACTAGACCAAGAAAAGACTAGCGTGTATATCAGGCCAATCAAGTGCGCGATTGTTTCCAGCCAGGTCTCAGCTGAAGTGACGCCTGGAATGTTTCCTTGAAAGCAACCTTTCTGTACTGCAAGTCCATCATTTGCGCTCTGGCGGCTTTGTCGTCTCGAGGGAAGTCATTTACGGCGTTAATCTTCTCTTCTGTGTTACTAGCTTCTGGTCGATTCTGGGAAAAAGACGTTAGGCGTGAATCATACTTGGGCATTTCACGTCAATGTTGGGAACATCTTGAAGGGTTGGGTAGAGTGTCAAAGTCATAGCGCGCGACCGTCAGGTAGGCCGACTGTGCACAACCGGGAGACTTGTACTGTCCTGCTGGTGGTAAGCTGGGGCCCAGCGGCGGAAAAATGGCTTCCCTCAGCGCCTTGACCCTGTTCAAGAAGCAGGAGGGCACTCTTTCAATCGCAAAGGACAAAAGCTCGGTATCATGGGCACAGTCTGGTGCAAGTCCCACTGTGACATTGGAGGTGGCCAAAATCACGAACTTGCAGCAAACCCCTCCGGACAAGCCCAAGGCAATACTGAAAATTGTGTATACCGAGCCCGGTCAGACAGAACCTGCCTCTTATGCATTCCAATTCACGAGTAAGGGCGATGCGCGAGGAGAGATGAACGTCATTCGGGATACGCTCTCCGATGCTATGGCCAAAGCGAAACAGACCGCCGTTACCCAGGCTGCAAATGGGGGCCAGTCCGCTGCAATGACCATTGCTGCAGCAATCTCCGGAGGCAAGGGTAGCACGTGGGAGGACGATGAGAAGCTCATATCAGATGTGCGGTTACAGCAAGGCTTGCTCAAAGACAACTCTGAGTTGCAGAAGACTTTCATGGAAGCGAGGAATTTGAAACCAGAATCCTTGTCGCTCACACAGTTCACCAAGCAGTTTTGGGCGTCTCGTGTACATCTACTGAGAGCTCATGCTCTAGCCCAGGCGCAAACCAAAGGTCTATATAACGTCTTCTCGGTGGTCAAGTTCACAGGAGAAGGGAATAAACAACTGAACCTCACATCCGAGCATATCAAGGCGATATTCGAGCAATATCCCCTTATGAGAATTGTGTATGACGAAGTTGTGCCGAAGAGGATCAAGGATGAACGTGAATTCTGGTCACGATTCTTCCAGAGTCAGCTCTACTCAACGTTACGTGGGCTGAAGGTCGATCGGCGGACAGAGGCCCGCGATGCGGTAATGGACCAGTACCTCGATCACCCAGAGTTGACCGGAGTCAGGCCTACGCCGCCCGAAGTTCATATTCCCAAATTCATTGATCTTGAAGGCAATGAAGAAAACCACAGTCAGAGAAAGGGCAATCGACCAGATGCTGAGAATCGTCAGAGCTCGCTCGAGAAGGGACCCATCATACGCCGCCTCAATGCGATCAGTGAGAAGCTCATGGCTGCAGTCAAACCATCGGACGTGGATGTTTCGGCACCTATCGGAATGGATGAGTCGGAATATGAACAGCTACGGCTTAGAGATTTGGCAGCCAAGGATGAGCAGCAGCGGATTTCTCTGAACATACGAGATCAATCGCATTTGTTCTCGGACAACAGGGCGACAACGGAGGATGCTGAAGTCGCCCGTATTCGAGCACTCAATCCTTCCAAAGCGGTTCAGAAGGTGTCTCAAAGGCTGGATGACGCTTACTCCAGACCTGGCAATGCTCCTGTGATTGACATGGACTTCGAAGAAGAAGACGAATACATGGACGAAGATGAACTCCAGAAGTCTAAAGCTGAGTCCGGCTCATCTCTTGCTAACAATCACATTCTCGATCTCATCAAAGCTCACCGCGATCAGTCTACCGAGGCCGCAAACCTAAGTAGCAATCCCAAGACCTACGGTGGTCTATCCGAACCCGTCTACGAGCGCCTTGTTCTTACGCATGCCACGACTCTGGAGTTTTTGCGTCAATTTTGGTCAGCTTTTCTTTCTGGTGACTCTTCACGAACCGACGAGATCGCTTCTCTTAGTGAATCACTCAACCGTGCATTGGATCGCATCAATGCTATTGCGGCAGATGCGCAGGCTGAGAGAGATGATATAATCAAGGGCCAATTGGCCCAGGCAGATAAGATCTTCAAGCAAACTGGTAAACGGAAGAAAGTCAATCGTGCCGGGATTGGCGGAGGAGAGACAGTCGTTAAGCAGCTTCTAGGTCCTTGTATCAAGGCTCTTAAAGTCGCAGTCGACAAGTACAGGGTGACGTATGAGGAGCAGATGAGAGAACTGCAGTCTCAACAGGTTGAGGACTGAAAGTGAAGCTCGTGTTCTGGTGTGAGACATTGGAATATTGGCTTCGACCTCTTTCTCGTGTGCTCCGACTATTGTTGGTACGATATCTGCATGCAAACGGTGGTGTGCTGATGCAGCCTGTGCTAGCCTTTGCCCGCAACTTGCAAAGCCTGCAGAGACGTAATGCGATGTCATGCATTCCCCGATGTCTTCACTGTATGGAATATTGCCGACACAAGCCAGGCATTGCAGTCCTGCTGTCCGCGTTGTTACCAAGGCGCCCCTTGCCTCTCAGACAATTCTTTGCTTGGGTCTCAGCCAGTGCATAGCACCAACACAGATACACTGTCCTAGGACAGGTACCAACGATTATGTGACAGCCGCGCCACCATTAGTACAACGCCGATATCTGACTCACTCGGTGGCTGCCTGGTACCGAGTTCACTTCGCCTATTTGACTGCCGGTGACTCATCCTCCGTCCACGCCAATCTTCGACAGGCACATATACACAATAGCCACAATTTTGGTCAACAATCAATCGACATAGCTCAATGGCAGATGCGTTAGTCCCATACCTGAGAACAAAGAATCTCGGGGTCAGCTGAAGGTTGCAAGTTCGAATCTTGCTGTCGATCAAGGATTTCTTTTTGCTTTCCCACATCTTTGCAGATGAGGTGCGGTACCTGCCGTCAACCGCTTCGCCCAGACACAGAGAGAGATACTTGTTTCAATCAGACTATCAGCAGACCTCAGGCAAGTTGAACCACGTCCCATGTCGCTAGTGTACCAACGACGTAGGTGACATTTGAGATAGTGCTGATGGATGCAATTCTTGATGGACAAGCGTATCCCCAAATCATGTCGCACATTCTTATGAGCCAGGCGTGTTACTCCTTGACACATCGACACTAATATTGATTACTTGAACGCCTCAGAACACATCAGAACACGTCGCTGGTTATCTCTCAGCTTGCATCCAGACCGTCTCGATCAACCATACCCCACATCACGTGCTTATCTCGGCTCGGACCCCGGACCCGACTCTCCTCACGAAGCTTTCCAATTCCGCGCTCCACTGTATCTCGGCAGATACCTTGGCTATGCATTGCCGTAATTTATCATCACCTATACTGAATGCTTTCAAGCATTAGTCGAAGGCGCAGAAGCAATAAATACATATCGTCTGGATAGAATCATATTCACTCGCTCCTACATCCTTCATCTAGCCAGACTGACCGACATCCACTCGAGAAGTGGTACGCGCACGCTGATAAACTAGCATATATCTAGGATCGATTCCAAAATTCAAGCAGCCCAACCACCACTACACCAAGAACCCAAAAGCAGACATTAACCCTCACCCACCTACAACTTCAACCACCCACCAACCCCCAAAATGGTCCCCCTCCCCACCTTCGACCCAACTCCCTACCACCACCCCCTCATAACCGAACGCTCCATCGACGCCCCCCGCCCCCTAAAACTAATCTACATCGGCGCCGGCGTCTCCGGGATAACCGCCGCGATCCTCTTCCCCAAATACATTCCCAACCTAACCCTAGCAATCTACGACAAGAACCCCGACGTCGGCGGAACCTGGTTCGAGAACAGATACCCGGGCGTCGCATGTGATATCCCGGCTCACTCGTATCAGCTGAGCTTCGAGAGTGATGTTGATTGGAGTAGTTTCTATGCTGGGGGCGCCGAGATACTAGAGTACTGGAGGAGGGTGGCGGGGAAGTATGATGTTAGGAGGTTCATGCGGTTTGGGTGTCGGTGTGTGGGGGCGAGGTGGGATGAGGGGAGTTGTAAGTGGGTTGTGAGGTTTGAGAGGGTTGATGAGAGGGGTGAGGTTGTGGAGGGGTCTGAGTTTGAGGATGTGGGGGATGTGCTTATGACGGGGACGGGGGCGTTGAATCAGTGGCGGTGGCCGGAGATTGAGGGGTTGAAGGGGTTTGGGGGGAAGTTGATGCATAGTGCGGATTATGATGGGGAGTATGATGTTACGGTGAGTGGGATATATGCAGCTGGGGCGCGCTGGGATGGAGAGACTGACGTGTGGGATAGGGCAAGTCGATAGCGGTCATCGGCGCCGGCAGCAGTGGCATTCAGATTGTGCCCACGCTGCAGAAGAAGGTGAAGCATATGGATCATTACGTGCGAGGTCGAACCTGGATAGCTGCTTCCTTCGGCCACGATCTCGTCGAGGAACGCAATAATGGTCAAGACGGAAACTTTACATATACCGACGAGGAGAAGGAAGCCTGGCGCAAAGATCCAGCTTCCTACGTGAAATACAGGAAGGCACTCGAGGTCGGCATGCAAGGCGGCTTCTCAGTCACACACCGCGATACAATCGAGCACACCACCGCACGCAATGCCTTCGACAAGGCCATGAGAGACCGTCTGAAGACGAAGCCAGAGATCGTGGAGCATATGCTACCTGACTTCCCACCGCTATGTAAACGACTCACGCCAGGTCCAGGCTACCTCGAGGCCCTGTGCGCAGAGAACGTGGACGTCATCCCCCAACAAATCGACCACATCGACGAGACAGGCATCGTCACAAAAGACGGAAAACACAGACCCGTCGACGCAATCATCTGCGCCACCGGCTTCGATACATCCTTCCAAGGACGCTTTCCTGTCATCGGTCGAAATGGCCAGAACCTACAGGATCGTTACCGGACCCGACCAGAAACATATCTCAGTGTCTGCACGGACGGATTCCCAAATTATTTCCAGTCACTTGGTCCCAATGCAGGCGTGGGCAACGGGAACCTACTGGTCATCATCGAGTCGGTCCATCGGTACGTCGGGCAGATCCTGCAGAAATTGTCAATGGAGAATGTGAAGACAATAGAACCAAAGCCTCAAGCCGTCAAGAACTTCACGGAGTACTGTGATGCGTTCTTCAAGAGAACTGTGTTCAGCGCTGAGTGTGGAGCGTGGTACAAAACGTCACCGCCAGGTACAGACCCCTCTCAGCGCAAGTTCGGGCGAGTGACGGCCCTATGGCCTGGAAGCAGTATTCATGCTATCAAAGCGCTGGCAAAACCACGATTCGAGGACTTCGAGATGGAGAATGTGGATGAGAATGAGTTCGGGTGGTTCGGAGATGGGTGGGCGGTCGCTGAGAAAGAACAGGATGCGGAAGGGTTGAGTTGGTATCTGAATGAGACGCGGTTCTTGCACGAGCAATTGCCGGATCTTGGGCGCATTGATGAGGATAGGAATAGGCTGAATGGGCTGAGGAAGGGGGAAATCGATACTGATATCAAGGCGCCGGATGTGTTTTCAACTTAGATAGACACGTAGAAAGAACGACATTGTGGTTTGAAATGGCTACTGCCTCTTTTGCTACATCTCTGGTGTACACTTCCACTGCTAGTGCAGCCTCGATGTGATCACACCGGTCCTTTTGGTGCTCATCGGAGCACAGAATATTGAGCATACCCTTGCCAAACGCCCCCAAAGAGTTCTGCATCATTGTAGACACAATCGAAAAAGCAACAAGGCTACCGCCGTCCCTTCCGACGCCGGGTATCCTAAACCTCAGCGCTAGCAACATCCCCCTCAGCACTCATTGGCTGAACACCAGAACTATTCCCATTAGCAAAGCCGAACCCAGCCCCCATCATGCCATCCCTCAAAGTCTCATTGAGCATCCTCATGCTCTCCTGAGCACCCGAACCACCACCCATAGACAATTGCTTAAGCTGATTCTCAACATCCCTGACCCGCTTTCTGAACCTCAGCTGATCGAGGAACAGCTGCTGCCGCCCCTTCTCGAGATCTCGTCTTTCAGCTTGCACAATGTCTTCCATCTCGGCAAATTGTGCGAGCTTCAACTCGTATTTCTTCAGCGTCAGATTTGTAGCGGCGGATACGAGCCGTGACGCTTCTCGTTCTTCGTGGGTTGCGAGGGCTGCAGATCGGGCGGCGGAGACTGTTAGGGCTGTGGTGGAGAGGTCAGTCAGCACATGTGGCTTGTCCTGTGAGGAGCCATCTGTGGCCTTCGATGTGGTGTCGACGTCCATCGAGTCCTCTGCTTTGACGTCTCCTTTTTGGCCTTCTGATTGTTCGCCTTCCTTGGCTTCTGTCGATGTGCTGGCCATGCCCTTCTCTAGCTCTTTTCGAAGGTCCTTGTGCATCTGCTCGATTGATCGTTGCGATGCAGCTGCCACGACGGATGGATCGTGCATTTGCGCTAGGAAGCTGACGACTGACATGACTGGGTTCTCCAGTTGGCTTATTGGTTCGCGACCGCCTAGTGCTCGGTACTCGACGGATCCTGGACCGTCTTCGACGTACTGATCCTGGATCTCGAGTTGTAAGAACTTCATAACACACTCTTCTCTAGTCCGCGTACCAACGTGACTTGCGACTTCGTCCCAGTTTGTATCGAAGTTCTCCAGACCCTCCAGCAGTAGCAGGGTCTCAGTATCTGTCCATGGGGCATCCTTATCGGGTATATTCGTGTGCGCTGGCTCTTCCATCCTCGTGAAATCTGATGACCGGTGCGTGCTCGGCATTCGTGATTGGTAGTAACAGTTTGGGCATAAGTCGTACTTAACATCGTTCGCAGTAGGGTTCTGGTTGCCCGTTGGTGCTTCGCTTTTGGAGTAGTGGAAGCGCGATCTTGTGCAGTCAATGCCACATGAATAGCAATTGATTGTCTTCTTGTCTTGCTTCGCAGCATCCTGTATAGCTTTTGTAGCATCGTCTCCTGCTGTGCCATTTGCTTCTCCATTTGCTTTCTTGCTGTCTTCGGAGGACTTGATCTCTTTCCCTTTGTCATCATATATGTTTCGACGCACTTCGATGTTTAGATCTGCTTTGCTTGCTGGCGTTGCAGACTTCGCCCTTTCAGTGGAGGCATGTGGTTTTCCCGGAGTTGTGATTGTGTTTGGCCCCGGCTGGAAGGGCTGTAGTCCTCGAGGAGTGTCTACTATTGTTCGGAAGTGACCTGTGAACGGTGGGCCGATATTTGAGGGTCTGGTTTGAGGATCGACCTGGTCGCAGTTAGCATGCGATTATTTCCTTGGTACACAATAGCTTACCTGGTAGTTGATAAGTCCCCATTGTTCAAGGAAAGCGTGCACTCTCATAATGGCGCAAACGTCTCCAGCCAAGTTCCTCCGGCAAGCAGTCACTGTGAGGTACTCGACGGGGTTCAGGCGATATGTGTTGACCATAAAGTCACGGTAGTCCTTGTATACTGCTGGGGTCTTGCTTCGATTTCTGTTGTTGAAAAATTCAGGTAGTGACTTGACCTCGATGGGGTGTATCTGATGCATGTCGAACCAAGTGCTATAGCTCGGAAGGATAATCTGGTGCGTCTGCTGAATCAGATGCGATCGAGCAGCAGCTTCTATTGAGGCCTTTGATTGTGGTTGACCATCTGCCCCATTTGTCGGTGCGGGCGTCTGCCGTGTGTCGTCGCCCAAAGTCTTATCTGGGCTGCCTTCCTCTGCCTTTGTCTCATCATCCACACCTCCCATCTCGGCATCTTCGGGTTCGGCATCGTCGTCGCCGGGCACTGGCGTCTGCTCTGGCTCTGGAGGATCTGGATTTGCGCCTATCGCATTGGACTGATCGGGGAGCGTCACCCCAGAATTGTTGGCCATGCCGG